CCCCCCCCCCCCCGCCCCCCGTATCAACTGGGCACCTGATTTAAGCCCTGCATGGACTTGAAGTTGTTCTCTTTAGTTGTTCAGATCTTTTACGTGTATCATCTCAGAGTTGACCCACACTTTCAGGTTCCAGAAATCACGGTTCATACCGCCCCGCATTTCCTCCTACCTTGTGCGCTTCTTCACCTCCCATCGGCAGCTGACTTACACACTTCAGATCTGCTCCAGGTTCTCGCCCGAGCGCCGCCATCTTAGCGGCTCACGTGACTCGTGGGTGGGCGGAACGCAGAACACCCGGGCTGGAAGCGGAGCTAGCTGAGGGCTTGTACCTCTCCCGCCCGCCCCCACCCAGTCAAAAGCCGCGCCCTCCATCCTGCCTGAGATTGGGCGTGGCGTCTAGAAATGACTGCTCCTCATTGGCTTTCAGGAAGTCCGGGAGCCCGTGGGCTCGCCCCTTTGCCAGCTGAGTTTCCCATCCCTTCTATTAGTCACCGCTGCTCCCTCTTCCAGCCTGAGGGGGACGGGGTGATTCGAGCTGGAACGCTACTGCTCGCCTTCCTCTCCTCCGGGCAGCCCCGGTAGCGGGGCATGGGCAGCCTGCCCCTTTCACTCCTTGAGGAGCTTGCCCGCCCGACCTGGTCTATGTGTTTAAGGCTCTGGTTTCTCAGTCCTCTCCTCAGAGCCCCCAACACCCCCGCCCAAGCGCTCCCTGAACACCCCCAGCCTCTCCTTGTCTCCTCAGTCTTTAGTCTCCTCACATTCCATCCTTTCGCCCTCCTCGGACAGGGACTGGAGAGGAATCCCCCACCCCAGGAAGACTCCCCTTGTCTGCCAGCGTTTCCGGGCGGAGGGTGCGCGTGGAGGCCTGGCGCGCTTTTGTGCGCGTTCAGTGCCCAGCAGTATCTCCCAGACTGGCCACCCCCGACCCTCCAGTCTCCGTGTCTTACAGAAGCCAAATTCGAGTTATATAATTTCTAGTGCTGCTGTTTTTCCTGCCTGAGGAAACACTTCATCGCGTGGAGGATAGCAGGACATTTTAGTGCTCTTCTATATAAGATCGGGGTGTGGGCAGGGGTGGCCAGCGGTGGCAGAGAGATGTCCTTTCTGCAAAAGGAAGGTGGGTAGTTTGAAGAGAGATTGAGAGAAAGGGTGGATGTGGACGCCAAACAGCTGCACTCTTTTAGGAGATCCCCGGACCGTTTTCATAGCTTATGCATGCCTAATACTACTACAGCATCTCTGCAAACACCTTTTGGGGAAGGTTTGGTTTCTCCTCTCGAACAGTCTCAGTGATTTTCCTCGCCGGATAGGGAGCTGCTGGATGCGAAGAGATAGCATGATGTGAATGACTCCAGTGTGAAGAAATCTGCTTCGCCAACTCATCTTGCATCAAGTGCCCATTGAGTTGCATTGTCACTTTAAGGTCTCCATGCCAAGGGATTGCTTTCCTTCTTTTCAATCCTCTTGGTTAATACATGGGAGGATCAGAATCAGAGGGGCATTAAGTAAGGATCAAGCCTTCTGGGCTTGGAGAGCACAGAAGAAAAAAATGAAAGTGACAGCAAGCTGGATCCTGTCTTACTGAGGGGGGTGAGATCTGGAACTTCTGGTTCATTAAATAGAAGGGGGCCTTTAAATCTGTGTTCTACCCCACAAAACTGTTCAAACTCCCGCATGTTTTTAAAGACCAAAGTCAAAGAGACTTTTAAAAGTATTTTTTGAAGGGAGGAGTTAATTTTTTCTCTAAGAAATGAGGATTTTTGTCATCAACCATTTCATCATTGAATTTGATCATATATAAAGTAGTGAGACAGCTGTCTAAATTTGGTTTGTGCCTTAATTGAGTTAGACATTGGGCTTCCAAAAATGTTGCTGCCTGAAGAGTTTTAATAACGTTTTCTATGCTTACAATAGTTTTCTCAGCTTTTAAAAAGTAATACGTATTTTATAAAAATTGAAAAACTTGAAAAAACTCAAAAGTGATTTTTCTCTACTCTGTGAGCAATACAAAGTTTAGTTGGGGAAAACGTACATCCTTATTTTCTTTATCTAAAATAGAAGACTCAGCCTGGATTTTAAAACCGAACAGTGAAGTGGTTTTCAACAGTTACCTGGCTCGTGGCCTCAATCCAGCTGGATCCAGCAGAGATTTGAGAAGAGATCTTGAGTCCTGTGGCAGAGGAAAGACCCAAGAATGCCAGTCAGGAGGAAAGGTGGGCTATGTCCTAATATATGGTTGCTTTTCTTGGTTCTATTATTTGTAATTTCAGTTGTATTCCATTGGAGAGTAAAATTTTGCCTTGATTTTGGGAAATATTTATTGTAATAATATCTTTTAAGTGTTACATCATTCAGTAATATTTTGCTATAGTAAAATGAACTAAGACTAGAATTTGTAGACAATTGTAATTTCATAAACCAGGCTGTCTATATCACGATGCATCACGATTTGTAATGAGTACTATAGATTTTGTATCTTTATCTTGTTTTCTTAGCTTATTAAAACTTACTTTTAAACAGTCTTTTAAAAAGAACTTTGTACAATAGAGCTCTTCCCCAAGGGTTTAATATTAATTGAGCTAGTTACATAGTTACAAAAGAGTAATTTTGTTGACATTGGAAAAATTATAGCTTTACCATTTATCTTTGATTAAAATAGATTTCATATTTGGATTTAGTCTAATGTAAATCTTCATTTTTGTGATAAAGTGCAACTTTGGTAATGTGCTTTTTCAGATACTGTACATCCATTAATCAGTAACATGATTGTCAAATTGTCTAATTGAGGCACACACCTGTTTTTTCTCTCCTTCAACAACTTTTATTACTCAAAACTGATCAAGATTCAGTTGGTTTCTGAAACATAGTTTATTATAGGCCAAACTTTAGGGGTTTAATTTAGCTTATATCTATCCCAGGTTAACTTTCAAAAGGAGTCTGGTGAACCCAGATTTTTTTTAACCTGATAGGAAACATGAGATTATGAAGATTTCTGGATAGTTTTGAATCAAAATTTATACTAATACCCTTGAACTCTACTATACTTGAGTAACATAGACTCAAGGTGTTCAGTGATATGAGTTGCTATAATCTGAAACCAGAGCCTAAACTGTATGCTAAAGTGCATCCTGGCTCTGTATGGTGTTTAATCCTTCTACTTGTGGATTTGGAAGATACACTGAGAAAAATTTTAGTCACTGAGATGCTTTTATCCAAGCTGGTATGTGTAGAAAGGGACAGTGGAATATAAAACATTTTAAACACCAAGAATTGTGCTTTTTGCACACTGGCTTTTCAGACTTGGATTGTTTTCTTCCTTTGCTGCTCCTTATAATATCACTGAAGAAGTAAACTTGCTGAAATTTTAGAACCACAACCTATCCAGATCTGACACAATGTATTTATCTGTTTTTTTTTTTTTTTTTTGGTACTGGGGATCGAACTTGGGTCCTTGCGCTTGTGCAGCAGGTGGCGAAACCACTGAGCTAAATCCCCGGCCCAACTCAGTGTTTTTTACTATTTCTACCATTTATCTAGACAGTCCTTTGGGATTACTTTATTATCTTGGACTAGTAATTAAATTAAATTAAATACTTTATGCATTTGTGTGTGTGTTTGTGTGTGTGTGAGAGAGAGAGAGAGAAAGAAAGAGGGAGTAAGAGTGGAAAGAGGAAAAGAGAAGGAAGAGGAGAAAAAGAGAAAGGGACCAAAAGGTACATGGGAAGGAAGAGGAGGAGGCACAATTGATTTTATAAATGTAACAACTAAGGGTGAGCTTAAGGTTTCTAAAACCAATAGACTGAGTTTCTTAAAAGTTTTCACCTTTACTGTCAGGAATTGTTACAGAAATTTATGACACATTACTGAAAATTATACATTATGAAAAAGTATTATGGAGACATTCCTTCTTTGTTCTTTCTTCTCTTTTCTTTTTCTTTCCTCTTCTCTTGCTTCTTCTTTAACAATGGATTGATGTAACACATCAAAATTTCAAAAGAAGCTGGGCATAGTGGTACATGCCTGTAATCCCCAGCGCTTGGGAGGCTGAAGCAGGAGGATCATTGGAAGTTCAAAGCTAGCCTGAACTACATAGTGAGACACTTTTAAGAAAATCAATCTGCCCAAAAAACAAAATTTCAAAAGAATCAACAAATTCTACTTTGCAAAATGGATGTATGTTTTTACTATATTATGCTGAAATATATTCCTTATGTACTTCACTTTATGAACTTCTCTAAAGAAATAATTTATCTTATTTTTAATTTTCAAAATTGTATTGAGATATATATTTTGAATATTATATATAATTAGCCAAACAAATTATTACATGGGCATTATATTTTTAATTGACTAAGTTTACTATCTCCATTTATTTGCTATATCTGTTTCTATAGGAAAAACAAATATTTTAGAGTTTAACGTAGACTTATGTCACGGAAGAGCCAGACTTGTGATTAATAACATGCAACTATGGTGGGAAGTGGGAATGAGTGTAAAATCTCACCAAGCCAATCTCTAGGTTCTATTCCTGACTGCTCTTGGATCAGCTGAAACTGCTATACTTTAAACTTTGTCTTTTGCTTTAGGACATTACTTTCTACCCCCTCCACCCCCTTCACATTTCCGCAGGTTATCAACAAAAGACTCTTCCATTTCACTGTTAAAGATTTTTTTTCCTCAACAGCTCCCCCCTTCTCCCAGGATTCTGTTATCTACAGTAACAACTTTTTTCCCCAAGTACTGTTATTTCACTCTTTTTTTTTTTATTAGTACATGTTTGCAGTACATAATGTTTACATTTATCCTCGGGAGTTGGTATATATACATAAGCACATCTTAATTCTTTTTGCTTTCCTTTCCCTTCCCTTCTCCCCACTTTCCATCTCTTGGTCCTCTTCCCATTGCAAAGTGACTTGATTTTTGCTCCCAACACCATTAGGACAATAAGACATTTTATTTTGTGAAAATTTAAAGCCAATCTAAGATAAGTTAAATTAGCATTTTATAATATGATACAAGATTAGTGGATTGTAAAAGGCTATTTCAATAAGACATCTTGAATTAAATTGACATGATTTCATACTGAGTCAATACAACTACAAAAAAGTTATTAATATTTGTGTCCTTCTCTGTATTTTCAGCAGACAGTTGGCTGTTTTAAGGATAGAATGTGCTTTAATAGAAGTTTTTAGTACAATATAATTTTATTTTTGAATATTTTTGATTTGTCATTAAATATGTGAAAAAGTAATTGCTTTAATATTTGAGATAAATATTCATTTCATTTCTGTTTTTAAATGTTTCCAACTTCTAAGAGTCTTTTAAACTGATATTTTCGGT